AGAAACTGAGCATGTTTGCTATGCTGTAAGTAAATACATGTAAGTTTAAAGACATTTACTCACATGGTAGGATTTTGGTTTGCTGAAGTGCATGGGGAAAATAAGAATTTAAAAATCGCATGTTTGCATTTATCATAACAACTGTTAAACTATATACATTTAATAGACTATTCATAGACCTATATCTGCCAGCACATTCAGTGCTTAAGCATTATAATGCATGAAGATATTGATATTACAATAAACTGTTCATTTAGTACATTTATAATTACCAAATTGCAGCTTAAAGAAAATATATATATTTTTTTTTTTCTGTTATAAAGATCAGTGTTAAAGTGGAAGGAATCCTGAAATGGCATTGGGACTTTTAATTTGACACTCTGTTCATATAGACTTTATTCAATATTATTTTACTGTGCAATGTGAATACTGACAGATTCATACTGTATGTGGTTGAAATGCACTGTACCTCTTTGGTGACGGCATATGACGTTTGTAGAAAGGCTTGTTTCCTGACACTGTACATGTGTTGTTTGCCCTGTGAAGAGAGAAGGTTCAAGTGATGCCACTTTGGGAAAATACTTTCTCATATCTCTGTTTAATATACAATGACAACCATTCATTTTTTTAAATGTTTAGTGTAAAATATAACTGATATGATTTATATTTTTACAAATAAAATACTGACTTGTATTCTGCACTCAGATTTGTATTGGTTCTGGGTGATTGGTGTCTACAAGAAAAAGAGAATAAAATTAACAAATTGGAGGATTTTATTATTTAATAATGAAACACACAATGATTAAAAAAAGGTGAATACTGATTACCTAGAAAATCGGCTCCAGATGCTCTGTCTGTTGAGATGTGTGTGTCATGGAATGTTTAATATCAGGTAATGTATAATATGATTAATTGTTAACATAATTTATGGTTAATTTTAGTTACGTTAAATATATTTTCAACCCGCCTTTGTTCAGGCTTTGGTGGTCTTTCGGGAGCATCTCCAGTGT